CAGAGGACGCCCACCTGAAACTTCAACCTTACAGCTCTTCTGATTTCCAACATAATAATTTTCTTCACTAAAACTTTCGCGGTGCCGTACAAAGGACCAGGCTAGCATGAAAGCTGAATTTGTGACTTTATATGCGCAAAAGACGTTCTCCTAAAATTCCAGTCTCCTATCTTTTAAGGCTTCTGAGACAGCAATTTTTTCCGTCGAAAGTTTCACAGGGCCGCAGCAAGTTGGAACCAGGCTTAACTGAAAGCTGAATTTGAATTTGCGGATCGCATGTAAACAGGACATCCTCGTTAAATTTCAGCTTCCTACCTACCGTGATTCCCGAGAAAATAATTTTTCTCGCCAAAAGTTTCATACGCTGCACATGATATTAGGAGCACGCGAACAATGAATTTAAATTTTCTGGGCTGCACACGAATAGGGGAGACAACCCTAAAATTTCAGCTTTCTAGCTTCAGTGGTTCCCGAGGCAATGGTTTTCCCCGCCAAAACTTTCATGGAGCAGTTACGCGATGCCCGCATTCACAGGAAGGCTGAATTCAAATTAACGGGTCGCACATGGGCAGGAAACGCTCTACCAAAATCTCAGCCATCCAGCTTTTATGGCTCCCGAGTTGAAAGTGCGAGACAAAATGCACTCAGACACACACATATATAAGAACACAGACACTGATTAAGAGGTGACAATATGAGTTTTGTGCTGTTGTTACACAGCGCAAAACACACAAGCACCAGGCTGAAACGCACCACGCTTGCCGGTGCGACCATGCATTTTTGCCCTAAACTCGCAGATCGCTAACAGCAGGAGTGACCCCTGTACTGTTGTCCAACAATTAGCCTCATATTGACCTTGCTTGGCCTCCTTCGGCACACAGGAGAAAGGGCGTCGGTTGGGATGAAAATGTTGTGTTATAGAGCCGCATGGACCTCCAGGTAAATAAATACTAATTTTTTGAAAGAAATCCAGTCGTTTTCCCGGAAAATGCTCGTTTTCCGAAAAAATGCAACTTTCCAGTTCACCAAAAAGCAAAAATGTTGCTAGAGCGGTGGTCGTTCGTCAAAAACTCTAAGTATGGAAATGAACTGAATGTTCATTTGCATATTTGGATGAGGGCGGTCGTTCGCTGCAAAACGCACTCGTTTCTGATTTTTCGGTAAAGTCAAGTATTTTTCACGCCCACCTACGGGGAGTTTCACCTCCAAGCAAAACTAAGACCGGACCTGAAAGTAAAAGATCCCAGCGAAGTTTCAGTCTCGCACCTCATCCGGTAAGCGAAATAGCCACTTCGCTACAAATATCTTTGAAGTGTCCTAAGTCGTGGCACAAATGCAAATCCATACTCATTTTTGATATACGGTTTCCCATATAGGCGATAAACATGCTAACAAAATTTCAGCTACTGTTTTCCGACAAGTTTCTGAGCTAGCACTGTACCAAGTTACTAACTCTGATGTGGTCTCACGCACCACACAAGCGTGCGCGACAGCTAAGTTTGAATCTTTGGCTCGCACATGCACAAAGAATATCCCCACAAAGTTTCGGCTTTGTACCTCGCTTGGTTCGCGAAATTGTTTCTCGCGAAAGAAATATGCATATTTTTTTCGGGGGTGCGTACATGGAGTAGGAAAATATACGTAAAATTTCAGCTTTCCAACTTTCCTGGTTGCTGAGAAAAAAGTGAGTGACAAAATTCACTCGCTTCCGAACACACACACACAGATGATCTCTTGACAACATGCGTTTTTGCTGGCTGTAATAGCGCTGTAGCACTGCACAGCAAAAACGCATAATAAAAAAAAAAAATAGGAATTCCATGCAATACATATACTGCAACGTTCGGGACAAAAAAGCCCTAAAAAAACAAAGACAGCTAATTTCTGGCCTGCACATTGATAAACATAGCTATCTTCAAGCTGAATGTCGAGGAGTGAATCTCCTCAGCAGGAAACCCTCTGCGAACTAGTTTATTCGTGACGAAGACAGATCAATAACGGATGCCAGAAATTCGAAATTGTCGTCGGATCGCATTCAGACAACCCCGACGAAAGGCAGGAACATCCAAATGCTCAGTCCGCAGACGACACTGTGTTTGCCGCAGGAACTGCATATGTATTAAAACCATTGCTGCAGAAATTAAGCAATTTTATACTCGGAGCACAAACCTCTTCAAATCTGGCGAGTATCATTT